ATAAAGTACATATTATATTCTTGGATAGAAATACTAAGTATGTATATTTTCCTTAATTTAATCTATAAATTTTTAAAAAGTAGGTATTTTTTGGAACCAAACAGCCAAGTCAAAAATCTTCATGGAAAAAATAAAATTCTAAACAAGTTATCCCTACCATATATTAAAATGTCACAAAAACTACAATAAAAACAGAATGGTCTGGGCATACAACTGAACAAATCAATGAAACAGAATAAGGTCCAGAAACAGATATATGTGAGAATGTAGTGTATTTATGATAAAGATGACACCTCAAATTAGTGGCGAAAAGATGAATTACCTGCTAAAACTTATCAGACGCTTAGATACTTTACAATGTTTCTGAAGACTTAACTTCAACAAATGAAACCATGAAACATCAGAAGAAAAAACATTCAAGAATTCTATTATAATCTCAGAGCAGAGAAGTCTTTCCTGATACTTAAAACCCAGAAACCATAAAAAACACTGAAAAATGTTAATGCAAAAATAAAAGAGAAAAATCAAGTAAAAAAAATTTTCAACATTAATCAAAGACTAAAGGCTAATTTTACTTACACAGAGTTTCTATAAATCAATAATAAAAGAAGACCTACCAGCAAAAGAAAAACAGATAAAAGGTCAATTAACATAAAAGGATGTAAACATGGTATTGAAACAAATGAAAAGATATTCAATTGCACTCAAAATGAGGGAAATGCAAATCAAACCTAGACTGATACCACTTTTCACTATCACACTGGATAACAGAGCTTTGTAACCAGGTCTGTTGGCAAAGGTACAGGAAATCAGCCTCTTCAGCACTGCTATCAGAAGGGCAGAACCTATACTGAGGGTATCTGGTAATATCAAAAAATATAAACACACATGCTTGCTGATTCAGCAATTATTCATCTAGGAATTTGCATGACTATTGAAGCATTGTTTGTAATAGAAAAAAAAACTGGAAATGATCCAAACATCCATCAGTAGTTAACTGGTTAAATAAATTATAGTACATCAATATAAGGGATTACCATACAGCTTTGAAAAAACAAATAGTAACAAAAGAATGAGGAAACCCTTTCCGTGCAGGTAACCAGGACAATGAACAAGGAGCAGAACGCTACCATCTGTGTAAAAAGGAGGTTAAAAAAGAGAACACATCCGTGTATGTGCTTGTATATGTATATCTCTGAAAAAACACACAAGAGACCAATAAAGGTTGTTGCTTATCTAGGTAAAGGAATGAGTGACTAACGGTCAAAGGCAACAAAAAAACTTCATCATTCAATACCCTTTTGTACCATTTGCATTCCGCATGAACTGCCTATTAATAAAATCAAGTTTTCAAAACAGAAGTATAAGGCTTCTACAATCTTGAAGGCATAATTAAGACTTATTTTTCTTTTTTGTTTACCAATTTTTAAATATAGGGTAAAATGCAGAACATAAAAAACCTAAATTAAGGGTTACTTTCATTTATATTAGAAATAAGATTGACCAAAATAACTGAAAATAATGAAAACAAATAGTACATAATAAATTACTGAGTTCTGAAGATACCTTTATCTCCTTTAAAAACAGGCTGTATCTCTCTTACCATATTGCAAATATTTTGTCAGACTTAATTTCCTGCTTGGAAACAGGAGGACACACAGGAAACGCAAATCACTACTAGAATGAATGGGAAAAAAACTAAAGATTTTTCTTTTAAAAGTTATTTGAAGGTAAACTCCACATTTAAAATAAAAAATATGGGTAAAGATTCCTTTTTCTCACTTATACAGAGGAAGCAGACACACTTCATGCATTTAAACCTGTGGTAATACAAATACGATTCCACATCCTTGATTCTAAAGTTATTCTGTATTTTTTTCTATTGTTTGGTAGATTTGAAAAAATGCATTTCATACTTAAGGTCTTAAAGTTAATCATATACCTAAGCCACTGCTGTTTTTAAAACATACACAGAGTTAAAATTAAATGATGGGGCCAGGCGAGGTGGCTCATGCCTATAATCCCAGCACTTTCGATGGCCAGGGCAGGTGGATCACCCGAGGTCAAGAGTTTGAGACTTGCCTGGCCAACATGGTAAAACCTCATCTCTACTAAAAATACAAAAATTAGCCGGGTGTGATGGCACATATCTGTAATCCCAGCTACTCGGGAGGCGGAGGCAGGAGAATTGCTTGAACCCAGGAGGCGGAGGCTGCAGTGAGCTGAGATCATGACACTGCACTCCAGCCTGTGTAACAGAGTGAGACACTGTCTCAAAAAAAACACTCAATGATGAACCCCGTGTGGGGGCTCATGCCTGTAATCCCAGAATTTTAGAGGCCAAGGTGGGAGGATTGCTTGAGGCCAGGAGTTCAGGATCAGCCTGGGCAACATAGCAAGACCCTGTCCCTGTGAAAAATTTTAGAAATTTAAAAATCAGCTAGGAGAGTGACAGCTCACATCTGTAGTCCCAGCTAACTGAGATGCTGAGGTGAGAGGATTGCTTGCGTTCAGGAGTTTAAGGTTACAGTGAGCTATGAACATGCTACTGCACTACAGCCTGGGCAACAGAGTGAGATGCCATCTCTTAAACAAACAAAAAGACTGAAACCTTAACTAATATAAAGGATCCCCATATTCCAGACAGCTTTCTGTCCCAAAAACTTTTCCTTTCTGAAATAGCTACTACTGTATATTTATAGGTTTTAAAGCACTTAGACTGGCTGGCACTGAACAGATACTCAAAATGGTTTCTACCTACTCTCTGCCTTTCCAGGTTTTGAAAACTAAATTGCCATTAAATGAAATAATTAATTAAGTTGATTTGACCTCAATTATTCAAGTCGCTGAATATTTTTCAATTGGAGTATCAATGATATTTTTAAATGGCCTCAAAATAAGAGTTGGGGCAGGGAAAGAAGTTTTATTATAAACCATACAAATTTAACACAAAGAAAACACAATTATTTAAAGTGTTCTAGTCTCATGGAGTCCTACTGAAACAGAGGAAGTTTCCCAACAACAAAATAATCTTCCCCTTTTAAATGTCATCCAGCACAGAAGTAAAAGAGTAACAATAATCCCAAGTGTAAAGATAGTAATAGTGGAAAATAATATTCAGAAAATTACTTTTCCTCAAAGACAAAAAGATCTTCAAGGTATCTGAGACAGCACTCTCTTCAAGTTTGTTTCTGGAATGTGGACACCAACTATACACAGGCGCACTCCTTCCCCAGGACATCCTGACCGCACACAATAGCTACTGACAACAATTGAACTAGGTTGCTATTTCCAAGCATGGAAATTTTACTATCTATAGATGCAAATTTCCCTATCTAAGTAAAGTTAAATGGTACTTGTAAACAATCTATTTAGAAACAAATTTGGTTACTAAGCACATTTTTGAAAGTCAGGACAGAAGAAGCTATTCATGTTTCCCATTTAAAATCATCTACATTTTTTTCAGTGTTTGAAATACAGAAAAAAGGAAACCACACAAACATGATAAATCTATGTCAAAAAGTGCTGGGTGGGGTGGTTTCCTTAAGTATGTGAACTATATTTTGTAGACAAGTTTTTTTTTTTTTTTCCTGCTTCATCCGTTGACGCATGCCCTTTAGCCTCTCCGAATATGATCCTGTTCACCAATCTCATCGTGTTCTTCTCACCCAGAGTTCTTGTATCGCAGCCCCATTCCCACTCAGTCCAGTCCAGTTAATGCCTACTTGACCTTTGACTCAGGACAGGCAATCCCTTTCCCCAAAAGGAGAGTTTCCTTTCCTCATTCAGCCTAGAGTGAGTTCCTCACTCTGTGCTCCTATGGTGCCTAGGCATACCTCTATCACAGAATTGGTCACAGGATTGCTGTTACCTTGTCTGTCTCTGACTGCTACATTACTGCTACCTAAAGGTCACTTTTTGTAGTTTTATTACTTTGAATCCATTTACCTTATCGGTGGCATTTAACACTGATAATAACTTCTTAAAACCCTGCACTTTTAAAATTCCATGTCACCTCCTTGTAGGTCCAACTCCCTACCTGTTAGGTGTTTCTCCAATTCCTCTATATCTTCTCTCTCTCCCTGGGATCTCACATCAGTCCTCTACTTACTCTGCATACTCATTTGATGTCATCCTTTTCCACTACCTATACATCAACAATTCCCAAGTCCACATCTTCAACACCAAACTTCTCCATAACCACTAACATTCAACCTGTGTCGTTCTGTCAAACTGACATTCATTCCCTCTTATATAACAAATCGCATTTGACCACTACCACACCCAGCTTAAGCCCTCAGCTTCAACCCTCATCTAGCCCATTATTCCTAACAATCTCCTAATTAATTTCCCTGCCTCCTGTCTCATTTCTTCTCAAATACTCACTTCGTTCTCAATCTTTCTTTTATATACCGCAACCCAGAATAATTTTCACAATTTTGAGTGGCAAGTCATTTCATCAGAGGATAATGGTCCAACTCTTCATGCTAAGTTTTAGCATCTATATGCTATAGATACACACACACCCATACATATATATGATAAACTTATTTTATAATTTTAATTTCATTTTCACATTTTAAAATAAGGTCCCAATTAAGCCTTCTTTTTCTGCATTTGATTCCCTCTTTTAAGTAGTCACTAGAGATTACCACTCTCCAACACCAATTGTCCTCACATAACAAAGACTTCTTGTACACTAATCACCTCGAAAGAGCATGCACTCATTCATAAAAAACTCAAATTTTAAACATCAATTGTTCGGTTTAAGTTAGTCTTTTTAAAGTATTTGCTGCTAAATAAAGTTAGTTTTTAAAAAGAAGAAAGCTTTAGGTGTGACTTAGTGGGAATATTTCAATATCAAAGTATATGTAACTCCTTATTGACATACATCATACAAATGCAATGAGAGGAATTGGCTATATATTCATTATAAACTAAAATATATCACTTGGCTCCTTTTTGCCCACAGCAACCCACTTTGACTATATCTTCCTTACCTTTCACTTTTGCAGTGAGCATTTCTGCAGCATTTTGAAGATCAACAGAATTGAGGTTCTGATGTTTATTCATTATAGACTTTAAAACACGGAGCAGTTCCTCTAGACGTATATGAATAACTTCTTTAAAACAGTCTTTAAAAAGAAAAAAAAATAATTTATTTCCAGAGCAAAGTTCCACAAATCTAAACTACAAAACATCACCTGAAGCACATTTCAAGTAGAAGCCTTGGTTACACAATTTTTGCCTACTATACGTTCATTTCTATCTTCACTGTTGCAATTACATACAATTTAAAAAGCCTTCAGAAAATCCTTAGTCATTTTAATTCATTAAGGATTTCAAAGGCTCTCACAGTTATGGTCAATTTAAGTATTACATTTTTCAGTTTTCTCAGTTTTAATATGTGCTCCAGACTTCCCTTGAGACAACTTTATAAGGTAAGTTTTCCTTGTCTTATACTTTTACTATCATATATTTATTTAACATATCCAGTAACTCAGGCATATAAAGATCATCATCTAACCTACACATTTTTAAAATTATGATATAATTTACCTATGATAAAATGTACAGACCTTTAATGAGTTTTTGTGCTTTTTAGAAAAACTGAATTAGTTGCCAATGATGAAAAATTGAGGGATCATTACACAAATTCTAGATTTTGCCTACTCCTGAAAAATCAAAATCTTTTACACTCAGGGCCACATTCCTCCTCGGCCACAGTAGCTGGAACAGAGCAGTGCTGCTCTCTTAGATAGATGAGTTTCTTCTCAGTGCCCATTCATTTTCTCCCAGCCTACTCCACTCATTTACATCATTCTAGGTCAGAGAGATGCAGTTTTATTACCCCTTAAATAAGATGACTATATAATTTATCATTCAAACCAAAATACTTTTGCTAGTGGAAAGGAGGATGCTACTCACAGTCATGCTAGCACAACAATCACATTCTACGATCTTCATCCCAAGTAAATCAGAAAGTATAATCACCCTACCTTTAACCCCTGAAGTAATCCTCAAAAGTCTGACAAGACAACTACTTTAAGTACGGTACTCTTATATAATTTTCCTTTCTGTAAACTTACACAGCATTGGTTTTTAATAAGAGTTAATATCTATTAAGCACTTACTATGTGCTAGGCACTATTAAAAACAAAAGGATATTATTTCATTCAATGTAATACTGAATACTGTGATGGGTCATAGTCATTATGACCCAGGTATGTATATACACATATTTCTGTATCAAGTCATCTATATTATTTATATAAGTATATGTTTTTATACATATTTATATCTTTTATACACATTTCTGTATGACTACATATAGAAATATTTATGTGTATATATTTAAACATATATACACATATGTACATATATACATACAAATGTATGTGCACATATGTATGCATGTATAAATATATTCATGAAAATGTACACATAAAATATGTATGTCTATATAAATATCTATATGTAAAAATATATATATATATATTTCTTTGTTAGTTGAGAGGGCCTAAAAGAAATGACAGTAGCAACAAGCACACCTAGCACCCAGATCTTGGTTTCTAATACTATTCTCCAGTGAAAGCAACCAGGTCTCCTTAGAGAAATAGCTGATTCTAGGACCGGGGTGGAAATGTTCAAGATAAGTAACAAGCATCTTGTAATGCCAGAAAGGAAGGAAGAACTTTAAAAAAAAAAAAACTAAAACAAACAACAAAAAACACCCTACAGTGAGGAGGGCATGTCAAAGGTGCACAGGAACCAATTGAAAGTTTCCAATAGCCAAAGCTGGAACTATGTGAGCAATAAATAAAGTAATATTGGATTATAACCTAAAGTACATAACAAATGTTCATGAGTCCATACTGACATAAATGATTGAATACATTAGTAAACAGGGGAAAAGAAACAAATCTCTAGTGTAAAAGAACTGTAAAAAATGTGTGCAAATACTTTGCTCTCAAGAAGGTGAAATATAACTCTCTTACATATGACCTATGTGGACTAACTTCTTCCAAAGAGTGTAGTATGGAAAAGAGGACAAAAAGAGTAACTTGACAGTGGAGAAACTAGACAAACACTACTGAAGACAGGTGACCAAGGTCAACATCAACAGTGACAAATCATGTTCAAGGTAAATATCCTTGATATAAAGTGATGAAAACAACACTTTACATCTGTAATCTTCCTCCCAATATCCCATAACCCCGGTCTAATGAGGAGAAAAATGTCAGGCAAATTCTAATCAAGGGCCATCCTACAGAACACCTAATCAGTATTCCTTAAAATAAAAATGAGGAAAGTTTGAGAAGCTTACAGCCAAGGAAGACCTAAGGAGAAACAATTAAATGTAATATGATAGGATCCTGGAAGATAATAAAAAGTATTAGAGGAAATCTATGGAAATCTGAATATAGACACTAGTTAATAATAATGCATCATTATTACTGGTTATCAAACACTGGCTCTATAACTCTAAGAGATGTAAGATGTTAATACAGTGTATGGACTATATGGGAACTTTGTATTATTATCTCAATTTTTCTGTAATCTAAAACTGTTCTAAAAAATAAAATCTATTTTTAAAATGAAATACAAGTAGGTAAAATATTTTAGGAATTTTATGTGTTGTTGAAATTTTCCCCATAAACATAATTTTAAAGCTTGATATACAATTTTTGTAATTCTTAGGGAAAATGTGACTATGCAGTTTAAATAACTGTCTTAATTTAATAAGTATCACTATTATCTCTTTTTTATAACTGGTAATGTTAGTTTGGTAGGTTTACTTAGTTGAGGCAATACAGTATAGTGGTTGAAAAGCATAGTCTCTGAAACCAGACTGCCTGACTGAATTCTAACTCCATGGCTGAGAAACCTTGGGTGAGTCACTTAGCCCCTCTGTGCCTCAGTTTCCTCACCTATAAAAAGAAGGTAAGGTAGCTAGTTCACAGGGTTATTGGGTTAAATGAATTAAAACACACAAAGCACTTAGAACAGTGGCTGGAACACAGTAGGCCCTTCATAAATGTTTGCAACTATTTTTAGTTGGTGGAAAAGTAAGTAATCGCGGATTTGGTCACTAAAAAAAATTATATATATGTATACATGGCCAAAACCTCAATTACTTTTGCACCAACGTAATATTTTATGCAACAGTAGAAATAGGTTAATGATATAGGTTAGCTCTGAAATGAAATCTAGTAGATATGAAATAAAGGAAACTTCTGGGAAAATAATATAATTTGAATAGGTGTAAAAAAATCATAAAACCTTCCTTTTTTTTTTTGTCTTTTATTTTGTTTTTTTAGTTGAAGTCTCGCTCTGTTGCCTGGGCTAGAGTGCCACGACGCAATCTTGGCTCAATGCAACCTCCGCCTCCCAGATTCAAGCAATTATTCTGCCTCAGCCTCCCAAGTAGCTGGCATTACTGGTGCCTGCCACCACACCCGCCTGATTTTTTTTGTATTTAGTAGAGACAAGGTTTCACTATGTTGGTCAGGCTGGTCTCGAACTCCTGACCTCAGGTGATCCACCGGCCTTGGCCTCCCAAAGTGCTGGGATTACAGGCATGAGCCACTGCGCCCAGCCTATGGAACCTTCCTGATACGCTACTTTTTCCCCAGTTTTGTACAGCCAAATCTCTTATTTGGCACATATATAACTAACTAAAGCTGGTGTATGCTAGTACTTCTGCTGACTTAACCAAAACCAAGGTGGAGAGATTCTCATCACAGAGAGTTACACTGCCCTCTTTTTGAAACCTAATAAATGTTAGTCTTAGAAAAAGTTATTTCTATCCCGTGTTCTAATGTTTTACAATACAATTTTCAGGTATTAATATACTTAGGAAACATTAAATCTCAGGCCAAAAGAGCTTGATTTTCAGAGTGCCAACAACAACCATCAATACTCAAAATTAGTGTTGGGCAAAAACTACAAAATACTAATGGCCTAAATGCCTACATAAACCAAAGTAATACTGTGGTCTTCTCAGAATCAAGGAAATTAAACATGTAGAAATCCATATATTTCTAAAATTATTAAATGCTTTTCAACTTTCTCAGTTTTAATTTCTAATAGATACAACCCACATAAAAACTCTTTGGGATCTTTAGTAATTTTTTTTAACAGCGTAAAAAGGTCCTGGGAGTCCCTGCTATAGTTTTTCTTAAAAATCACTGTATCCAATCTGTCCCTGGATTTCAAGAAAAATAAAAGAAAAAAAAATCACTGCAACTGCAAAACACTCTAATAATTGGTGGCAGCACAAATGATCTACAAACTTGCAATTCCTTTTTTTCCTACAGGGTAGCCCTAATAAACAGATCTTGAAGTTGTCCCCAACTAACATACTAAAAAATGGCGTCAGAATTATTTTAGTAAGAAGTTTCAGAAGCTCCTTCAGTTGCACTATAAAGAATTCCAATTCCTGAAATTAAATACCCTTCTGAAGCCCACAAATAAACAGAAATGAACATGATGACTAAATAAAGAAAATGCTAATCACAAAGGTTCATAAACTTTCCTATATATTTGGGCAGAAGGGTAAACTACAAGGTCATGAGCATGTCCTAATAATATTTCAGTTGGAACTTCATAAATCAGCAAGCCCTCAACTAGTTGTGCCATAAATGGTTTAAAGAAAATTCCATTTTTACCAAAACTGAAGAAACTGGCTGCTTGATGCAGTAAAAAACAATAGATTTAGATAGAGAAACCTGGGTTCCAACCCTTGATCAGCTTCTTCCTTGAAAAGAACACATACAAAACTCTTAGCCTCTCTGATCTCAGATTCATCCTCAGTAAAAACACAATTGATAATACCTGTTTTACCTACAAGGTTGTTGTGAATATCAAATAAATAGAAATAAAGCTACTTTATAGTCTTAATATACATAAATGGCAATTACTACTAGTAATTCTGTAAGCCATTCAAACTACCTTTGAAAACAGGTTTGCCTCACATACAATCATGTTCAAAAACAAATACATTTATAGCTAGATCCCACAGTATTTTGACTAAGGAAGAAAAGACATTACATTTAAGTTTCAATTTCATTTTCTGCGTAAAATCTAAATTGGTGAATTATCTGAAAAAGAAAGTCATTCAGGATATGTTTTATTAAAAATTTCTACACCTCTCAAGTTATAGTACTTAATTGAGTCATATAACTAAATACAAGATAATTTTCAAATGCCATAGTGTTCACATTGTAAATGTAATGAAATTTAATTTATACTACAAAGTTATTATAGATGTGAATATAATAAAATTCAACTAAAGTCTTAATACTAGTTGTCTAGAATAGTAAAAATTCTGTATCCCAATGTTTGCTTATCTACTCACTCTGTAATACAGTAATCTGAATTTTAATTTACTATTTCACCCATCTGAGTCATTTATTTTCTGCTTCATTCCACTTATCAAGTGAAGACAGATTAGACAGCTCCACTTTTTGTTCTCATGCATTAACAAAATACCACAGTGTTTATATTGCCAATACTTCATGGAAATGCTTAAGTAAATAAATGAAAAAAACATGATGTTTTCTTTCATTAAAAAAAAAACCTGACAATAATTTGAAAATCAATCTTGTTAATTCAGCTTAACCTCTTTAGGGAAAGCAATGAAAATAAGGAGAAAAAAATGTTTCAGAACTTATCACTAGGAAACTCCTTTTGCTGTGATGACTTTTGAAGTTACAGGATGAAAGTGAAGCCCGAGAAACAGCAACTTACTTTATTCAGCTACCGGGGATTATGAAAATAGTAACAACTGACATTTGAAAATGCTTATTCTAAGAGTTTTACACACATAAACTCATTTAATCGTCACAAAACCCCCATTATCTCCTTTTAATAGACACGGAAACAAGCATAAAGGAAGAAGATAAATAACTTGCCCAGGGCTACAAACGACTAGCAAATGGCAGAATGAGGATTCCACCTCAGGTATCCTGGGTCTAGAATTTGAGCTCCTAATCACTATGATACATTGGCACATGGTTGAAGAAGCTAAGCTTAATGACAAGTACTCTGCGATCTGCAATTTACCAGGCTTTAACTTCCAGTGAATATGCTAGTTACTACTATAAACATTGTTAAATGATATAAACCATTCTAGGCAAATGCAGAAGAGGAATCTAATGCACTGAGAACTGGCACAGGTGTAAATGAGCTATTTGTATTTCATACTTCGTTTCTCAAAGATTCATTTCATACCTTCTAGTCACTAAACAATGATCTATTAACATTCACATTAACTTCTAAGTGATATCCATTAGAAATCACTTCTAAAAAGATTTATTTCTAGGGTAATATAGAGCAGTACACATCTGAGGCTAGCAGCTTAATGTGTCTACTATTTCACAAAATTTCTGGCACACTGTAAAGTTACATAAGAGGCATCAGTGGTAAAAGTAACAATGCAATTTGTCTGAAAAAAAAATTTACACATCCTCCTGTATATTCTCCCTGGGAAAAGAACTGAGTTAACCCACAAGACAGGATTTCAATGAAGACTTTGTAAATTTATGCAGAACCTCTCATAATAGAATATATTATTTAATGGTATTAAACTTCTTATTTAATAAAAAATTCAATGAAAACTTTTTATTCAACCTAACTGTTCAATAAAATTTGTTTTAGAAAGTTAACATACTACTTCTGACTATAGTCCTGTAAAAACAATTCATCAGAAGCTATCACTTATGAGGTCAGTGTTATTATTTTTTTAATAATATAAAGGTGATACACTCTTAAATTAGAAAGCATCTTTTAAAAATAAGAGAACTTGGCCGGGCATGGTGGCTCACGAGAAATCCTAGCACTTTGGGAGGCCGAGGGGGGCAGATCACGAGATCAGGAGATTAAGACCATCCTGGCTAACAAGGTGAAACCCCGTCTCTACTAAAAATACAAAAACTTAGCTGGGCGTGGTGGCGGGCGCCTGTAGTCCCAGCTACTCGGGAGGCTGAGGCAGGAGAACGGTGTGAACCCAGGAGGCAGAGCTTGCAGTGAGCAGAGATCATGCCACTGCACTCCAGCCTGGGTGACAGAGCGAGACTCTGTCTCAAAAAAATAAAATAAATAAATAAATAAGAGAACTTGACTAGTTCATCTGAAATTGGTCTTACATTTTTATCTTCCTTTCCAGCCTGTTTAAAAACCAAGCCAAAAAAAAAGAAAAAAGAAACAAAAACAAGGCACGATAGTCACAAACCAAAAAATCCATTTTAAAATAGTACTTTATAATAAAAAAGCTGTAAGAAATTATTAGACTATTTATTTTCCCTCAAATATATTTTAAAATGGCAGTTAATATTTCCAAGCACTGAGTAGCAGAACAATTAGATATTTTATACTATTCTTTCTAGCCCAATTAAAAAGCCTTTACATTTTCCATATTCTCAGATTTTGAGCTTCCTTGAATGCTATTCCACACGAAAATGGGGAGGTATGTCACAATGACAGACTTTAAAATTATTATATAAACTTGAAAAGCACTTATATGAGTCTGTTATTTAGAATTTAGAACACATTATTCCACGGGGAGGAAACCATAAACCTGAATTGGTACTTATACTGCACATATATTAATCTACAGTGTTATAATTAAACATAACATGCATATGCATAACTGAGTGCCTTCAGCATTTTCATATAAGATAGAACATTTACTCCGCAATTATTCCTAATGTATCTTAATGACACTGGACAGAGATCTAAAACTTCAAATTCCACATCTGCTAGTTGTATAAGGCTACAAGGTAACCTCCTCCTGGCGGTTAAGTAGTGGAAAGAGAATTACCAAACTCTGTCACTTAACTTACCCCAGCAAGAATAGAATATTTTCAGTCCTCTAATCTTCCACATTAAGCTATTTATATTTGTAAATTTGAAAATTAGAGATAAACCATATACATATCTTAGCCCTGTTGGGAGTACAGAGCTCTTTGGCAGACATTTACATTTTTTCTAATCAGTTCCTCAATGACGATTACAATACGAGCTTCATATTCTCAGGAAATTTTCATTAATTTGTTTTCATATAATTTGAAAACAAATACTGAGCTGTCTTCTTAGGTCTAAACTGCCAACATTCAGAACAATGCATAATAATCTCCAACTCTAATCAAATTTTGAATTGCAGATTCGTAAAACTGATAACATCTGGCACAAGTGCCTCATTCTTAACAAAAAATTAAATGAATTAAGCCATATTCCAAAGCTAGTCAGTAGAACTAAGCCTAGAACCTAGATTCTGATTCTCTTTTCAGAGCTTTTGCTGCCATCCTTTACTACCAATTTAACCAAATCGTATAACCTGGCCATTATTTATCAGCAATAAGACATTGATGAAATCACATAAGTTATACATACATCTCATCTGTGAAACAGAGCTAAAGGTACCTGCCTTTGAGGGGACTGGGTGATTAAACTTGTCTGTATGACAAAGTACTCTGTAAAATGAAAAGCACCATACAGAGTTATATATCATTTCTAACTACTTGGAGAAGGTAAAATGTAGCCATAAACCAATCATGAAGCTGTTTATCTAAGACTAGCCTCAACCTATGATTAAACATCTGTGGTAAAAGTCAAGTGACTGCACATTACTGCTGCAGTTAGTAATAAAGGTATTAACAGATAAAAGTTATTACAGAGAAAATGGTATTCTGATTAAACCAAAAGATGATTTAATTGTATATCTACATTCTTTATTCTTAAGAGCTGCCTTTTTGGCTTAACAATTAACAAATGTGAATTAAAAGGTAATAAACAATGCCAAAAATATGGCATCTTCCTCTTAAGGAGGCAATACACAAAATATTGGGAGGCTTACTGAGAAATTACTGACAAGGCTCTTCCACTTTAAAAGAAAAACAGTGAATGAAACGGCTCTTTGCTGTCTGGCCACAGTTCAACATTGCAGTGATAACCACAGAAAAGAAGTCCAGGGATATTTCTCAACACCCAGAGATGAAAAGCAGGGCTCATGACTATAGGGATACATGTAATAATACCATCTTAAATAGTTAGAGCATTTTAAACATTTTACCTTTCCTGAAGATTACATCTCACGAGATCTTTGTAATACTTTTGTTAAGTAAATAAGGAATAGTCTGATATTCTAAAGAAGCTGAAAATCATCAAAATTAAAAACACGCACAATATTATGTAGCATTTTACTTATCTTTTATAATGAGGTACATTTATGTTTATAAAACAAAAAGGTTCCATCAACTCAAATTAACTTATTTATAGATTTTGATAACAGTATTTCAAAGACCAAAAAACCAAATTCTTGTTATATTCAAAATTCATCCTGACGTGGCATACATATATCCTTTTAATTCTGATTGAAGACTAAGCATTAAAATCAACCCAAAGGTAAATAATGAACATCCTCTGGCCATTGCATATTACTGCGTTGGTTATCAAAAAAACAGTTTATCCATTTTGTAATTAATTTGTTGACCATAAATTGCAAACTTTTTGATAATGTCCTTATGAATTCTTAAAATTAAATTTCAGTGAATATATTTCCATACATATCCTTTTACCTCAAGGGGTAGTCTCTTTCTGTATCTTATTTTTTTCTTTTCTCACTTAGGATCAACTTTCAGTCCCCATCCTTCAGTATTCTCTGAAGTGTCTGCTCACAATTTAAAACTCCTATAAAAATGTTTTTTGGAGATAAGAAGTAGTCCAACTTGTTTTAAATTACTATCATTTTAAATCTGTGACACAACGATAATTACATAAAATGAAGATTTTTTAAGAGATATAAATCTCTTAAGAAAAATAACTAAAAACAAATAGAAATCCTAACTAGAAATCTTATTTATGTGAATAAAAATGCATTTAAATTGGTGTATTAAATAAAATACGGTTTTATACCTTAAATCAAAGTAAATGACTTGTCAACTAATACATCATTTTAAATTTCACCTTAAAAATTAACCCAGTTAATGAACTGTGTATCAAGAAGTATAAATTTTGTTTGTAAATTTAAAAAATCAAACTAGTTGAGAACAAATTGTTATTACAAAGCTATGCTTCTTTAAATAAATGGGAAATTAATCATTTTGGCAAATTTGCTACCATTATAATACTTAATGTACTCAGGGTATCTTTCCACAATAACTTTAGGTAACTTCACTGCCATTTAATCATCCACAATCAGACTTCAAAATGAAGCTATTAAAATGAATGGGAATATGAACAACTTTTCTAATAATATTTGTACAGTCTCAAAAGAATCACTTATGTGATTGCTGTTTTAAGGAAAACTCAAATACTAAAACTTTGAGGCTTCAATTCCAGTCATTTTGGGCATTTCACCCTGAAAATAACAGATTAGAAATAAACTCTTAAATTTAGTACAAGCACAAGATACAATTTTAGTTTTTCAAAATGTCCATCAGAAAATAAGTATTTAACTTACATACACACATAGAACTATTTATTGAAATCTTACAAATTTCTATAAAGCCCCAGGAGGTCTCATATAAGTAACACTGAGAATCTTCATTTTTATATCTAGACATACCACCATGAATATGGAAATGAAACTGCCATTTATCACAAAAGAATAGGAGCTGTTTTTGTAACTATTAATTATCACTGTCATCAAATTTAGACCTAAGAGGTGCTAAACATTGAAAGACAGGTACTAAGAACGAGTCAGAGATAAACAATCTTTTACTTTAGGAGAACAGAGTCTAATGCTCCATTATCCATTTCTAACTAGACAGATAATTCTGTGATTAGCCCTTAATTCAAGATGTTACAGATCAGCAAAACAGAATTAAGTCTGATTTTTGTAAAAAAAAAAAAAAAATCACTTAAGCGCAGTCATTTTAGATACCAAAACTTCATCTAAAATGTGGAAAGCTGAACTAGGTAACAGTGTCAACAACGTAAATTATAAACATTAGTCTGCTTATTTAAGACCAATCAATGCACTATGTTACCATTAACAAAAAGGTTGAAATCCCAATGATCTCAAGTTTTCCTACGTCAAATGGACCCAACCACAGGAATCAAAGATATTTTTCTTTTTTGTATTCTTATTCCCTCACACTAAAGTTTCTATTATGTATTATACTATTATTTAATTATAAAATGGTTTACATTGTAACCATCAAAGATTTGGGGAAAAAAGCCCTAAAATCTCTAAAGCAGAATACCCTATTCCTACCACCGTGTACAAACTTATCTGCAGGCCAGCATTTAAAATTTTACGAACTATCCAGTAAGAATGCTAATAGAAAAGTGACAAACCTGAAAATATGGCTTCTTTCAAATATAGTAACATGTGGGAGAACTTCCTGATATCATTCACCAACTCCTTGATGTAATCCGGATCAAAAATAGAGTTGGAACTTAAGGACTTGAGCCCCATTTCAGAAGCTGTAACATCAGTAGAGAGTTGGCCTGATGCCCAAGCACGTTTTTTCTTTGTCTTTTTCTGTTTGTGAGCAATCATCCTTTCATGTAACAGTCAGAAAAACAGAAATCCTTAAGGGGGCAAGAAACAAAACAAAAACAAGCGGGGAGAGAGAAAAAAACACAAATACTAAATCAGCCAGGGAAATATTACACTAGATTTTCAACAACAGCCCACCTTGGTATCCTATTTTTAAATTTTTAAAAACCAATCATCATTCACTGTATTATTGATAATAGCAGTTTGCATTTATTAAGTGCCAGTAATTCTGACAACTCTGACATGCAAACCACTGTTCTTTACATTTCACAAATGAGGAACCTGAGGTTTAGAGGTTAAAACTTTGTCTAAGCTCTCAACTGATAATGAACTAGGACTTAAACCCGTA